CACAAGGACCACAAGTAAGTCCTGGGGCTCAGTGGATGGGTGGATGCCACCTATTTCTGGGCTTCACATGCAGGCTTATCTGCCTGCCTTTAGGTACCAGTTCCTGGAGGATGCTGTGAGGAACCAGCGCAAGGTCCTGGCCTCAATGGTTAAATGCCTTGGGGACAGACATGCTACATTGCAGAAGAGCACCAAGGAGGTTCGCAGCTCGTAAGTGTGGTTGTCAGGGCTGGGGGCCCTCGGGGTAAGGTGCTTTCTTGGCTGATCTGCTTTGTTCTCTAGGATCCGCCAGGTGTCTGATGTGCAGAAACGTGTGCAGGTGGATGTCAAGATGGCCATCTTGCAGATCATGAAGGAGCTGAACAAACGGGGCCGTGTGCTGGTCAATGATGCCCAAGTAAGCTATGTGCACGTGGGAGAGACCCTGGGTGCTGTCTGCTGGTGAAGAACCCTGGTGTCTTTTCTTCCCTATAACTTTGCTGTCCTTGACCTGCAGAAGGTGACTGAGGGTCAGCAGGAGCGCCTAGAACGGCAGCACTGGGCCTTGACCAAGATCCAGAAGCATCAGGAGCACATTCTGCGGTTTGCTTCTTGGGCTCTGGAGAGTGACAACAATACAGCCCTGCTGCTTTCTAAGAAGCTGGTGTGTGTGTGTGTCTGTGGGCAGGTAGTCCCAGTATGGTGAATATGTTTGTTCCTACTGTGCTCATGCCCCACCCCCTTCTCCCAGATCTACTTCCAGCTACACCGAGCTCTCAAGATGATTGTGGATCCTGTGGAGCCACACGGCGAGATGAAATTTCAGTGGGACCTCAATGCTTGGACCAAGAGTGCCGAGGCCTTTGGTGGGTCCTAGTCTTTCTTTTTTTGTTTTGTGCAAAACTGGACCCTGCAGGCAAAAATGACACCTTGAAGGTGAGACCCAGAACCCCATACCTCTCTCCCTTCCTATTCTAGGGTGCACTCAGCATGGAGAAGGTAGAGACTGTGGCTAGCTGGTACAAGGGACAGCAGGGTTTGTGGCAGAACCTTGGGCCCTTGTGCTGACTGAGGCCTATTTTCACCGCCCCCCCCACCTTTGGTACTGGGAATTGAACTCAGGACCTTGCACTTGCAAGGCAGGCACAGTGCCCCTGAGCTAAATCCCTCCCATTTTTGATACAAGGTCTCAATGTAATTCAGGTTGGCTTTGTATGTATTCATTCATTTTTTTTCTTTTTTTTTTGAGATAGGGTTTTTTTTTTTTTTTGGTACCGGGAATTGAACTTGGGTCCTTGTGCTTGCAAGGTAGGCGGCGGAACCACTGAGCTAAATCCCAGGCCCCGAGACAGGGTTTTGAAGCACAGTTCAGACTGCCCTTGAACTCACTATATAGCTGAGGCTGGCCTTGAACTTGTGGCGAGCCTCCTGCCTAAACCTCCCAAGTGCTGGGATTCCTAGAGTGTACCACCACACAGGGCTTTATTTTTAAATAATAATAACAATAATATTGTATTATTATTATTATTTTGTTTTTTTGTTTTTTTTGGGGACAGGTCTCACTTTGTAGTTTAGACTGACCTGGAACTTACTATGTAGCTCAGGACAGTCTCGAACTCAGAGCGATCCTCCTGCCTCAGCCTCCCAAGTGCTGGGATTACAGGCGTGTACCACCACGCCGGGGTTTGAGACTTGTGATCCTTTTGCTTCAACTTCCCATTGCTGAGATTACAGGTGCACTCATGCCTGGCCCAGTCTTTGGCCTTGGCTCTACCTTGTTACCAATCCAGGTACTGGACCTACCTAGGTTTTTCTCTTTTTCTTCAGGTAAGATTGTGGCTGAGCGGCCTGGTACCAACTCCACGGGCTCTGCACCCATGGCCCCAAGAATTCCAGGACCCCTGAGCAAGCAGGGTTCTAGCAGTAGCCAGGTGAGGAGGGGAAAGGACCAGGAATGGGTAGGACATGAGGCCCATTGGGTGCTTGCCTCATTGAGGTGCACTGGTTTGTTCTGTTGCAGCCCATGGAGGTACAGGAAGGCTATGGCTTTGGATCAGGTGAGTGGGTCTGCCTTAGGGCAGGGGGCAAACCTATGCTGCAGTGGGTTTTTCTTTTTTTTTTAAATTATTTTTTAATGCAGTGGGCTGTTTGTGTCATTGAAAGGTCTAAAAGGTGCAGTTACTGGCCTAAGGTGTAGCAGGTCCCCAGTGAATGCCTTTGTCTACCCTCAACCTGTCACCTTTTCTGTTTTCTTAGCAGATGATCCTTACTCCAGTGCAGAGCCCCATGTATCAGGCACGAAGCGGTATGTGTAGTGGTTCCTGAAGTGGTGGGTAGGTGAGGTGTAGAGATAGGAGTCCTCATACTGAGTGCATTTACAGGTCTCGCTCTGGTGAGGGCGAAGTGAGTGGCCTCATGCGCAAGGTGCCACGTGTGAGCTTAGAACGCCTAGACCTGGACCTTACAGCTGACAGCCAGCCACCTGTCTTCAAGGTTTTTCCGGGCAGCACCACTGAGGACTACAACCTCATTGTTATTGAGCGTGGTGCTGCTGCTGCAGCCACTGGGCAGCTTGGGACTGTGCCCCCAGGAGTGCCCAGTGCCCCACCCCTCCCTGGCATGGCCATTGTCAAGGTTAGCCTGTCCCAAGGGACCATGATGGGAGGGTGGCAACTGTCACCTAGGTTTGGATCTTTAACACCTTTTACTACCTTTTAGGAGGAGGAGACCGAGGCTGCCATTGGAGCCCCTCCTGCTGCTGCTGAGGCCCCTGAGACTAAGCCTGTGCTGATGGCTCTCGCTGAGGGTCCTGGCACTGAGGGCCCCCGCCTGGCCTCACCTAGTGGCAGTACTAGCTCAGGCTTGGAGGTGGTGGCTCCTGAGGGCACCTCGGCCCCAGCTGGTGGCCCAGGAACCCTGGATGACAGTGCCACCATCTGCCGTGTCTGCCAGAAGCCAGGTGACCTAGTCATGTGCAACCAGTGCGAGTTTTGCTTCCACCTGGACTGCCACCTGCCTGCTCTGCAGGATGTACCAGGGTATATGTAAAGCTGGTTGGGTTCTTGGCATGGAGTGTGGGGCTGGGTGGGGGTCCTGTGCATTCCCTCATTTTTCACCCTAGGGAGGAGTGGAGCTGTTCACTCTGCCATGTACTCCCTGACCTAAAAGAGGAAGATGGTAGCCTCAGCATGGATGGTGTGGACAGTGCTGGTGTCGTAGCCAAGCTCTCGCCAGCCAACCAGCGGGTGAGTGCCAACTTGTTCAAGTGTGCGTAGTCCAGTGGTTTTGTCCTCCTGCATACTGCAGCTCTGGTATGTACTGACCTGTTTAGAAATGTGAACGCGTCCTGCTGGCCCTATTCTGCCATGAACCCTGCCGTCCCCTGCACCAGTTGGCTACGGACTCTACATTCTCCATAGTGAGTGCATTCTAGAATATGAAAGGAGGGAGGTGTGGGATGCTGGGTCTCACCTACAAAGTGTGTATCATCTTTGCCTGTAGGAACAGCCTGGTGGCACCCTGGACCTGACCCTGATCCGTGCCCGCCTGCAGGAAAAGCTGTCACCCCCTTATAGCTCCCCGCAGGAGTTTGCCCAGGATGTGGGTCGTATGTTCAAGCAGTTTAACAAGCTGACGGAGGTGAGCATAGGAGGAGGCCCATGGGATGGGAGAGAGGGGAAATAGTGGGGGGTGGAAGTTAGGAACCACCCTCTGTTCCACACTTGCTTGGCTTAGGACAAGGCAGATGTGCAGTCTATCATCGGCCTGCAGCGCTTCTTCGAGATGCGCATGAATGAGGCCTTCGGGGACACCAAGTTCTCTGCTGTGCTGGTGGAGCCCCCACCGTTGAGCTTGCCAAGTGCTGGTCTAAGTTCCCAGGAGCTGTCTGGTGGCCCTGGTGATGGTCCCTGAAGCTGTGGGACCCCCTACTGGCACTTGGCCCTGTTCTCATCTATGTCCTTCCACCCCCATCCTTTGCCCCAGTGGCCTGACTCCCACTCCCTGGTGGCCCCATTCCCCAGTCCCTCACACAATGGTTTTTACTTCTGTGGATTTAATAAAAACTTCACCAGTTCCTCAGGCCTTGGTTGTTTGGGGACTATGCTCCTGGTCTCTGTCCATATCTGCTCTTCACCTTCAAGCATTGCTAACCACCAGCAATCTTTCCTTGGCCTCCTTGAATCTGTGTGGGTACCATCAGGATGATGTATATGAGGGGGCAGTTAACCTGGTAAGGGATGTGCACACCAGAAGCTGTCAAGGACCCTGGGGTAGGGTAGGCTTGGGCTCACCTGTGACTCTCAGAGAATCTTGTTTATCACATACCTTATGGCAGCTACATTCTTTAGTGTTTCCAGGATTTTTCCTTTGGAGGTTTCATCAGACAGGTATGCAGAGAGTTCTGAGGGGCGCCCCCCACCCTATTCCTCTCCTCCTTTGGTTAGGCTTCTGACACCATTGTTTATCCCTGTTCTGTACCTCCTGCTACTCTCCAGTTGATCCCTAGTGGGATACCCAATTTGGGCAGACCTTTGACTCCTCCCACATCTGTTGGTAGGGTAGGCTCATAGGGTCTTGGCACTGAACTAACTCCTGTATTTTAAAAATTTTTTTGTGGGGTTACTGGGGTTCAAACTCGGGACCTTGTGTTTGCAAGGCATATGGCACCACTGAGCTAAATCCTTAGCCCAAACTCCTGTTTTTGAGACAGTTTTGCTGGGTTAGGCTGAGAATTTGTGATGCTGCTTCCTGTCAGCCTCCCAGAGTGCTAGGATTAACAGGCATCTGGAACTATGCCTGTTCCTTAAATTTTCTTTAAACTATCATATCAGACTTTGCTCACTGTTAAGCTGTGGTGCACTCAGGCCTAGACGTGGGATGCTATGTGTTGGAGAGGTCCACCACCTTTAGTAGAGACTCAGGTATTGAAACAACGCCCACAGGTGGGTATGGGTTTTCTACCCCTGCCCCAAACCCTAACCAAGGGCCTGGCCCCATGGATGCCAGTCACACCAGCTTGGTAATGAGCATCCAATCTCATTTATTACAGAATAAAATGGTAAGACCCATCATGGTAAAGACCCTGGGCATCCATTCTATCCTTTCCCCAGTGGCAAGAAGGTGATCAGTCTCTCCGTAGGTTCTTGAGCCGCTCTTCCAGGTCTGCGTCAGCATCAGCCAGGGCTGAAGCTGTGGCCTCTGCTTTTTTCCCACCAGCAGCCACACTGAGTGAGCCACCAGTGGAGGGGAGATCTGAGAGAAGAGAAGATGTTAGAGTAGAAGAAGTAATGAATGAGAGTAGGGGTCAGGGGTTGTGTTTGTGATCCTGGAAATGAAACTGGTTTGTGGCACTCACTTGACAGCTCATCTGTTAAGCTCAGTCCCAGTTCATCCAGGACTTGGGACACTACAGCGTCACTAAGGAAGAGAAAAGAAAACTTGATGAGGGCTATGAGTAAGGACCAAGAAAATATCTACCTTCCCACCCAGTTTCTTCACACCTCTCCTCTTCATCTTCCTCATCTCCCATGGCATCGTCGATGGCATCATTCATCATCTCCTCCTTCATGTCCATGATCTCTGCCTGCCGCTCAAACTCCATCATGATCTTTTGGATCTGGGGCAATTTCAGCTGGAAGTAGGGAGAGGGTGAGTTTGGTTGCTGAAGATTGGTGGGAATGGGGAGGGGGTAGGGAGACACACACCTGTCTGTTCATGGTGCCCATGGCCTTGGTGACCCCTTTCATAGCTTGTGCCATTGAGTTGTTGGATTTCAGTGTCTGTATCTTCAGGGACACAGCCTGGATGTTGGCTCGCATCAATACAAACTTGCGCACATAGCGCCGAGTACGCACTAGATCTTTTGCCATGATGCGCACAGCATCCTATACAGTGGACAAGAGTAAAGCACACATCCTGAGAACTATGCTCCATTCAGGTTAATCCCAGTAGTCACTGGTTCTCTTCTGATTTCACCTGCCTCGCATTTTTGGGGGGCAGGTCCTGGGGATTGAACTCGGGAACCTTAACGTTTGTGAGGCAGGCAGAACCACTAAGCTAAATCCCTGGCCCCCTTCCCTCTTACAAGGTACACCTCCATGATCCCTAAATTGTGGATGGCAGGCCAAGGCTCACTCAGTACTTTAACCCCTTCCATATCTAGAGTCACTCCTTAAGCTGTAAACATTTTGTTTCTGTCCCCACCCCGGACAGAGCATCTGCTTTGGCTGGGCCTGTAGCTCAGAGGTACAGTGCTTGCCTAGTCTGCACAAAGCCCTGGGTCTGCTCTCCAGCACATGGGGACTGAGTTTAGCCAGTCTGGGCTACTCAGCTCCTGTCTCTAATTTAAGAAACACAAAGGAGCCGGGGATTTAACCCACTGGCCTTACAAGTGAAAGTTCCCAAGTTGATCTGTGGTACCAAAAAACAAAACAATCTAAACAACGAAAGACACAACAGCTTTACTACTCCCATTCTGGCTCTGTTCTCACTGGCATTTTGGTTAAACCTTTGTTTTTGCTTTTTCTTTACAATGGGAACTGAACCCAGGGGTCTTTATATGGAGCTACATCACAGGTGTTTTTTTTTTTTTTTTGGTTTTAAGTCAGCTGGTGGTGGCACTATGCCTGTAAAAATTACAGCACTCTGGGAGGTAGAGGCAGGAGGATGAGCCCAGCTTGGACAATTAGCAAGATCCAGTCTAGCTCTCCCATAGTACTGGTATTACAAGTATGAGTGGCCACACACAGCTTCTAAACTTATTCTTTTGGTCATCATTTCTGCGCCTTTTCCACAGTTCTTAGTGGTTTGGCATCTACTCCTCAGCTCACTTTGTTGCTCTCAGTTTGCTAGGGCCAACACTTGCTATTGTGTCTGCATGATGCAGCCTGGGGCCAAATTTTCTGAAGTTCACTCTCTTCAACACTCAAGTCTTGGCTGATAGCACTTCCAAGGAAGGCCTTTCCAAACTGCTAAACTACAGAAACACTGCTCACTTTTCACTCAGCATTCATCAAAGGACTTGCTTTTTGGTGTCCTGTCTTCTTTACTATCACCATAGTATTGCATGGCTGAGTGGCACCATCTTGCCCAGTGTCTCAGCCCCTGACCAGGGGCACTTACCATCTGCCCCTGCTTGGCCATCTTTTTGATGTCTGCAATGATTTTCTTCTCCTGAGTCTCCAGCTTCTGTCTCTCCCGGTCTAGCTCCCGCATGGCACGGTTTAGGGCCCGCTGGTTCTGCCTCAGCAGCTCCTCTGGCGTCTTTCGGCGCCCAAACAAGAGGTCCATGGTGGTAGGGGCTCAATGGCAGGCCTGAAAGAGTGAAGGCTGAGCTGTAGGGAGTGGGGCCTAGAAGGAGGGCAAAAGGCAGAACAGGTTCATGCAGGGGGTGGGTAGGGACAGGAAATATGAAGGGAACACCTGTGGGACGTAAGTGAGGCCAGCCAGACCCGAGTCATCCAGTGTGCTGGCTCAAGCCTTCCTCCATCCCCTATCCCACAAGGATGTCCGACCCGATGTCAGCTTTTCTTTTCAGACCCAGGGGCGTGGCTTTGGCGTTTCGGATGGGATGGGGCTGGAGGACGAGTGGGAGGGCTGTTTGGGACTCTGAGCACGGCCGACAGGATCTATGGTAGAGCGGGCGTAGGGCTCTGCGGGGGGGACAGTGGCTTCGTAGGACAAGGGTAAGGGCACCCTGAGCTCCGAAACGGCGGTGCCCAGGGCAGGACCCAGCAGAACAGTGCACCCGATACCCGGGCCGAGAAAAGCTCCAGGGCGTCGTAGCCCGTTCAGACCTGCGGCCCAGCAGGAGCCACTCACCGGAGCTGGCGCAGGGGCTCGCTTCCGCTTCCGGGTTACACACCCTTTGCTCGGATCCCCGACGTACCCACTAACGGCGGCCCCTCGCTTCTGTCGCCTCTGCTACCGCCGCTGTTTCCGGATCAAACGATCTGACGCTGCACGCCCCACCCGTACGCGGAATGCTGGGAAGTGGCGTAAACGCGCGCACGCGTAGACAAACCGGCGCCCAGCCGCATGCGCACTCCCCGCGAGATCTTATCGGCCTAGTCCCGCCAGGGTCGCCGCTGCGCGATAGCGGCGCCTGTCTGCCCATCCTGGAGGTCCCGCCTCCCACCGCGTTAGGGCACCGCTTCTGCGCGGAATCTTGACTTCCGCCTGAGGCCTCGGGGAACTTCAGGCAGGAGCTTACCCCACGCTCCTGCACTGGCAGAAGGGCAGTGCTGGCCGCGGGAGGGCGCTTTCCCCTCTTCAGGGAGGGGTTGATGAGTCTTGCCTCCTGCCCACAGCAGCCAGATCAGATTAACACCGGTGAGCGCGCGCACACACCTTACCTGGCCCTCCCGCCCCACGGAAGGAAGAGGCAGAGGCCATGCAGTAACATTCCCCTTTAATAGCCTGCTATGACCTCCGGCTGTGGAAAGGGGGGTTGCTTGGGCCCAGTTACCCAGGTCCCTGGCCGTCACACCCTACAGCCCACAGTCGGGGGGCTGGAAAGCACCCAGCGTGGGGCTAGACAAGCCAATTCATTTCCCATCGCTGAGCTGGTCGGGGAAGGAAGTGCCGACCAGAATCATGTGGTGGTTAAAAAAAAAAAAAAAAACCTAGGGGCAGGCGGCAAGGAGGGGAGGCAAGGCCAAGGCAGGGCTTACTCCACTGGCCATTTCCCACCCACCTCCCATGTCCCCCAATAAATATTTGCAGGGGATGCCCAGGCTGGTGGCCCTGGCAGGGTGGGTATGCGCCGACCCTATTTCAGGCAGCGCTCAAAATAGGTGGAGCCGATGTAGCCACCTCGCATGGAGCGCTGGACGTTCTGCTCAAACAGCCGCCGATTGTTCTGCAGGACCTCGGCAGCCTCCTTGTTCAGTGGGTCCTCGGGGTTGGGCTCCTGTAGCCAGTACAAGTGAGGTCACTGGGCCCAAGGGGCAGAAGGCCAAACTTCCCTGGCCCCAAACGCCCAGCTCTACTCACCAAAAAGAGATACTGCAGGCCATAAATTATGGAGTTTATCGTAAGGACTGGCTTCCAGTCCTCTCTGTGGACAGAGCATCAGGTTAAGGGCTAGTGAGTAGGAAGGAGGCTGCCACAGGCCCTGCTGGTTGGTACTGGACAGGTGAGGTTTGAGGCATGCACAGCGAAGATGTGAGAAGCCAGGGGAAGGTAAGAGGCAGGACAAGTCTTAGGGAAAGCCAGGATTGGGTGGTAAGGAAAATGACTTTGTACAAGATCCCAGTAATGAATGTAACTCTACTGTCTACCTAGAATGTACCAATAAATTAAATTTAAAAAAAAATAAAAAAAAAAGAAAATGACTTTGCCACAGCGGGGAGGGAAGGGACAGAGTGATGTAGTGCCCACAAGATGATGATGGCAAGGAAGGCTGGGGAGGACAGTGCTGGGCTGGTGCCCTCACCTGAGGATGTTGAGGCAGACGTTGCCCTCAAGGTCAATGTTGGGGTGATAAACCATAGTCTCACACTTCACCTTGGGGGGGTCATGCGGGTAACCTTGGCCCACCTGGCTCCAAGAAAAGAAGAGACGTGGGTAGGTGCCTGGCAGGGTCTCAGCTGCTACCTCCTCAGTCCACAGATCCACCTCTGCCCATTTGGGACTCACCTTAAAACTGAACACAAACTTTCCACTCTTGTAGAAGCCCTGGGAGGGGAAGACATAAAGTGGCATTAGGGCCCCATTTTGCGGGGGCCAGAAAGTTTCCCTGCTTCCAGCAGAGGCACCCTCCATCTGTTCCTGGGAGTCCAGCCATATATCTATCCTCTTACCTCGTCGGGACAGATAACCAGCTTGAAGTTGAGGAGGTCATCTGGGTCTGAGAAACTGATGTCACAAGTTTTGGGCAGGTTTAGCTCGTTTATGTCTGGGTTGGGGAAGGAGAGGAAGGGGACAGAGAGAGGGAGAGAAAGAGGCAAATGAGGGACAGGAAGCTCTTGGCAGGTGTCAGCAGAGTGCTATGGCCTTCTGGGTCTCTGGTGTCTCGGTTCTAAAATCTCTATGTGGGCTCTTCTGGATACACAGGACATCCCAAACATGTATCTTCCACTATGGCTGTGTGTCCCACCTCCTGGGACAAAGTGAACCCTACCTCTAAATCCACAGCTCTCAGTCACCTCAAGCCAAATCTCAAATTGGGAGCCCCCAACTCACACGCAGCCCCTACCCCAAAGCTCTGGCCTCCAACAGCTTCTGAGCACTACAGAGCCCAGGCTCCCCAGTCATGATGTCAAGTCTCTGTTATGTATCTGTACACCCAAATCCAAGGCCGCTGACCCCTACATTCTAGATCACCCCCTCTCTGATCAACGCTGGTCTCACTTCTTCTCTGGTTGTCATTCCAAACTCAGGCTCCCATTTAATTTAACCCCATATTCTCAAATCCCTGGGCCCCAACCCCACTCTCTAATTCTGAGGTCCACAGCACGATGGCCTAAATTCTCTTTCTCTCCTACATTCAGCCCCCAGCTCCCGCATCCCTCCCTCCCTCATCCACTTGTCACTTCCAGATCCTGTCTGACCCCAGAATAATACACTAAATCGTTCCCAATTCGTGTCCTCAGTTCCTGGTCCCTGCTACCTTTCTTTTTTCGATCTCATCCAAAACTCAAGTTCCAGCCTGACTGTCCGGCTTTCCGCAGCTCCAACACTCAGATTTCGGTTAGCCAAAGCCAGACGCCAGGCCTCCCCAACAGCCCCCTCCCTTCCGACCTAGAGACCCCCGTGCGTCCTCCTCCCCCGCCACGGCTCCTAGCCCAGGCCCCCCACACCTCCATGGCCCCCACG